CCCCCTCCCACGGGGACACCACAGTCCAGAAAGTCCTCACGTCTGCCAGGTGCTCGTTCTCATCATGCGAGAGGAAGAAGAGTGGCAGCAGGCTCTGGATCACGTGCGTCTGCAGGGGTTGTTTTCCCTCCTCCACTACCAGCTTCAACACCCTTCGGAAAAGGTGAACGGAGAGCAGCTGCACGTGGATGTTGTCCTGATGGAAAGTGAGAGGAAAAGACCTCAGCACCGGCTGCTCCAGGCCCACCGGGGCACAAGCCTGCAAATCCGCAGGCTACAGTTTCCTGGCAGCACCCAGCGCCTGGGGTGAGGGGCACAGAGCCTTACGTAGCCAAAGAGTGTCTGGAGTGCCTCAGCCAGCTCCAGGGCAGTGGGGGTGGAGATTGGGATGCCTCTGTCCTGGACTTGATTGATGCATACAGTGAGGGCCATCCAGACCAGCTCTCCGTCTGCATCCCACAGTAGCTCCGTGAAGCTTTGTGTCAGGCTCTGCATGCCGTCAGCCTGTGTGGAACACAATGCTGTGTTGTGAATCCATGAACGGCTGCAGCCCCAACCCCGCTCTGGCGGGGCAGCCCCACGTGCTGCCGCGGGGCCCAGAGGCCAAAGGCCTATCCTGAGGGACTCGGGCAGCTGAGCGGGGAGGCAGCAGAGCTGGGTGCAGCTGCCACAGCTCCCAAAGCCCAGCCAAGCCCAAGCGACTGCGTTCCCCAGCCCCAGGATTCCAGCATGGCTTCAGCCATCTGCCCCTTCTCACCATCGCAGGATCCTGGCTGAGCACCAGGAGGCCTCGGAGCGCCAGGCGACGCCTCTCTGGGCAGTCGCTCCTGAGGTGCCTTGAAAGGCTCTGCAGAATACTGCCTCCCCAGTCACTCATGTCCAGGCAGTCCAGGACCTGAAAGTCATGGAGCAGTGACGGGGTGCCTGGCTGGCAGGAGCCCAGACCCACACAGGGCTGGGCCCCCCAAGAGGGCAGAGAGGTGAAGGTAGCTCGGCCAGGCAGCGCTTGCCATTAGGCTCACCTCCACAAGGAATGCCATGGTGAGGAGCTCCAAGTGGGGCTCCTCCCTGCTCAGCAGCTCCAGCAGGTGGAGTGTGATGCGGGAACACAAGGGGCTGGAGACACAGCGCATCTCCCTGTGAGGGGGAAAAAGGCACCCATTGACCCTGAGCCTGGTGGGCAAACCTCTCCCGAGATGGACTCACAGAGGCCTGTTTTTTCCCCAGGATAAGGGCACTCTGGGAGGCGGCTCCTCCTGTGTACCCGCCTCTCCCAGCCTTTTTCACTCTGCTCAGCCATCCCTCAGTGACAAGGTCCTCTGGCCTACGACCACTGTGTGGGGTGCCCCATGCACAGGCAGAAATGACAGGGGCAGCGGGGACAAGGGGGTCTCACCTGGCCAGCAGACCCACCGCGTAGTGGTGGGTGTCAGCGCTGAGCAGCGTGTCCCAGCCACGCTTGCGTTCCATGGCCACCAACACGCTCTCACAGCGCAGACGGTGCAGCAGGGCTTTGATGGTCAGCACTGCAAACCTGTGTGCAGAGCAAAGGCCAGGTCATGCTGGGAGCCCTGGCC